AAAAAAAGTAGGATCCACCTATGAGAGAAGAGTCAAATATGACGACTGAAATAGTAAAATAACGATCAAAAAATCAATTTTTTGCAGCAACAAATTGCTCCCAAACAAGCTATTAAGCCGAAAAACTTTGACAAGTGTGTGTCGTTTTGTAGTCTTCTAGACATTTCGCTCCGGCGAAATAGAAACACACAGTACACGTACAAGCTGCGGCTGCTCTGCAACTTTTCGACGTGACAATGGCGCAAACTGCTGTTACTCTTCGTTCCTACTTCTTCTCCAAATCAAAGTCTTCGTCTTTTCAGCTCTTCAGTCGCCTGTTTTTCCGTTCCTCCACCCTATCACCATTGCTTCTCTACCCCGTCACTCCTTCCAAAATTCACGAATCAGTTTTCCCTCCACTCTTTCATACACGGCCATTTTGCACCCCTGCCGAGACGCCTACTCCCTTTAAACGTAATCCCAAATTGGTAAATTTCTCCCTCCCATCGGATTCAGAGTCGGATTCCGAGTCCGGAAGCTCGACTCGGAAAACTGAGGCAAAACAAATAGATAAACCCAAGCTCCCCCCACCGTACGACCCGTTTAACAAAAAACCCATCATAGAAGAACCGGATGATCCGAAAAACCTCCAAGAAGTTTTCGCAAAATTAAGAGAAGACGGCCTCATGAACAGTGCAGTCAAGATGTTCGACGGATTGTCCCAAGAGGGGTTGACCCACGAGGCATTAGAACTCTTTTCGCAGATCAAGGACAAAGGCAAAATGCCCGATGTGGTAGCGCACACGGCGGTTATAGAGGCGTATATGCAAGCGAACCAACCCAAGGAAGCCCACAAAGTGTACATGAGGATGCTGGCCAGTGGGGTGCTGCCTAATGCGTATACTTATAGGGTGCTAATACGAGGGCTGGCGGAAAGTGGGGAGGTGCAGATGGTGAAGGAGGCAAAGAAATACTTCGGAGAAATGGTGGGGCGGGGAATGCGGCCGAATGCTGTTGTCTGTGTTGCGAGTTTTGAGGGATTGGTGAAGGTTGGGCTGGAGAAGGAAGGAACGGAGATGCTGGAAATGCTCAAGGAAAAAGGGATTGTGCCGGAGGAGAGCAAGGTTAGAGAAGCTTTGAAGAATAAGAGAGGTACTGTTTATAGGACTGTGATGAGTGTTTTCTATGGGAAGTAGAGAAATGTCTTGTTGAAAATGTACTCGATTTTCCAAGTTTTAAACACAAAGTTACTTCTATCTCCCCATTAGGGTCGTTTATCGTGCTGCACGGGACACAATTCAAGGACATATTTTCGTTCAATCATCTTTACCAAACATCTCATATACCACATACAAGCATCATTTGAATTTAATCGAGGTTAAGTAAAAATATCAATCAAGGGACGGAAATAAATAGATC